CCGCGCGGTGGCCATTTGGGGGGTGGTCGGTGGTGGCGGTCGGGTGGTGGTGCGCTTGCACTGCCGCCTCCCTGCCCCACCTCACCCGTCTGTACTGGGCCCTGCTGCCCACTGTGTGCATGCCACCAGCTGCACTGTCCCCTCCCCGGTGGAGCGGGTCCTGCCGGCTATGTGCCCCTTGGCTCCGTCTGCCCGTCTCTCCGCCTCCTCTGACGACACCGACGTCCAGTCGCCTGAGTGGGGGAGTGGGTGGGTGCGGGTGTTGGGTGTGCGGCACGCTGGCGTGTCCTCCTTGGGCCCGGTCGTCTGTGCGTGGGCCCTCCCCACTCTGATTGTCCTCTTTCCGCTCCCACACTCATGTCGGCGGTGAGGGCTCGGCTGGGGTCTCCCCTGCTCGGGGGGACCCCGTCCTCCTCCCTTCTGTGATGTGACCTCAGAGCAGATGTGGCGACCCGCTGAATTTAAGCATATTAGTCAGCGGAGGAAAAGAAACTAACCAGGATTCCCTCAGTAACGGCGAGTGAACAGGGAAGAGCCCAGCGCCGAATCCCCGCCCCGTGGTGGGGCGTGGGAAATGTGGCGTACGGAAGACCCACTCTGCCAAGATCTCATGCTGTGACCCTGTTACCACACTTGCACATTCCAACCGCCAGAGTGTACAGTGTACAAGGGACTAGGAAAGAGTGAAACACCATACTTCAGAATATGGACACAAGATATTAAACAATTAGCAAAATGACTACATCCAAAAATCTGGCATGCAATTACTTTAATTGATCCACATATGTAAGAGCATCTTAAAACTGACAAACAAAAAAGAGCCATTGTCATCTCCTTCAGTACAGAAACAGCTGATGTGTCAAAGGCCAAGAGCGAGCTAGGCACAGTGCCACAATGTAATCTTATCTCAGCACTCTGGAAAGCTGTGGTGGGAGACCACAACTTCAAATTCTGCCTGGGCAACTCAGTGAGGGCTGGGAATGTAGCTCAGGGAATAGGGCCTGGGTTCAATCCCTAGGTCCAAAGAAAGAAAGAAAGACAGAAAGAGAAAAGGGGAAGGAATGAGAGAGGGACAACTTACTTATCAGACATGTGGTATAGCCCTCAAAGGCTCACCTGTTGAGAGGCTTGGTCCCCAGGTGGTGGCAGCAGGAGACAGTGTGGACCTTTAAGAGGTGTGGCCTTATGAGAAGCTGTCCTGAGTCCAAAACCAGTAGGCAAGCTAGAAGCTCAGTCAGGGCCTCTGTATCCCTCCGGAGGCAGAATTCTTCACCTCGAGGAAATCCTGGCTTCCACACTTAAGACCTTCAACTGATTAAATGAGGCCCACCAGGACTATAAGAGTGATCGTAAAGTCACTGGATTGCAGACACTAATCCCTTTTACAAAACATGTTCACAGCAATCGCCAGACTAGTATTTGACCGAGCAATGGCACCATGGCCTCACCAAGGTGACACAGAAAGTGTAATACCACATACCGTAGACATCTATAGGACTAGAACAGTCAGGACAGGATAGCATGCAGGTGTTGTCAGATCCAGATTTTGGTCCCTCTGGTCCTAGACTTGCCTTCCTCAGTGAGCAGCCTCCATGGGACAGTTCCCTGTATTGGGTCCACCAGGGGCCATCAAGTTCCAGCTCAGTTCCCAGCACTCTGAGGGCCAGGGCAAGGTCAAGTCTGGCCCGGGGCAGCTTGACTCAGCAAGACCCTGTCTCAATATAAGCAAGACCCTGTCTCAATATAAAAGATCAAAGAAGAGCACACAGCCCAAGTCCTGGCCATGTCACTTGGCAGTGTAGTATCTGGGGGACTCTACTTTCATAAATTAAATCTTCTAATGTTAGGAATTTGTTTTATCCTCGATCCTCAGCCTGAAGCATGGGCTCTTGTCTGAGTTTCCAGTCTGCCAGCCTTGGTTTGGGCCCACCAGCCCCACAGCTACATAAGTCAGTTCCCCAAATCTCTCCCGCACACTCCTCACAGGACTGGGTTCTGGCGAATGCTGCACCTTGCTGAGTAGCAGCCACAGCATCTGTGTGACCTCAGGCATCAGGCCATTGTATGGCCGTGTGACACACACCCGGTCCCCTCTGTCGTGCTAGTGGCACATCCCAGGTGGCAGATGTGACCCGAGTGCCCTGATACTCCATCTCTGTGGGCAGAGGGCTCTGCAGTGGGCAGAAAATGAAGTAAAGAAGTGCCGTTTCCATGGTGATGACCCAGTCCAGGGAGGGAACTCCTGCCAGGACACACTGGCTGCAGCAGAGGACAGGGAAAGAGGGGAAAGACGATCGACGACCAGCAAGGACTCCCAGCGGAAGAAGGTAAGAAAACATGGTCTTTAATACACTTAACAAGCCCAGGTGGGCGACCTCACTGTAATCAGGCCATGTCCACGGGAAGCCAGGACTGAAATCGCAGTGGTCTCTCCCATCTTCCTCTCCAAGTTCACACCTTGGTGAGTGGCTGCTGAGCATTCACCTTCGCGATGTCAAGTTGATACTGTAGACCATCTTCTGGATTTTCTCTTCATTCCTCAGGATATTGGCCTTCACGGCACAGATCTTCTCCTGTTGGTCTTTGACCTGCTGCTCCAGCTCGGCCAGCTCTGCCTTCAGCGGCTCCACAGCGCAGTCCGTGATGCTGATAGGAAATGGGGCGGCGTGTCAGTCTCAGGGCCCAACACACACCACTTCTTAACAGAGACACCATGGACAGCAAGTTCCAGCTCGGCCAGCTCTGCCTTCAGCGGCTCCACAGCGCAGTCCGTGATGCTGATAGGAAATGAGGGGGCGGCGTGTCAGTCTCAGGGCCCAACACACACCACTTCTTAACAGACACCATGGACAGCAAGAGAACACCGACCTCCTCCAGAGAGAAAAGGGCACAGTGCAAACTTCCTCGGGTAATGCCACGACTGGAAAGCCGCCCACCCTGCACAAATTTATTTAAATTTCTAGGACCCCTAGTGAAGCCAAACATGAGATTCACTTCAACAGAAGCTTCTGTTTCTCCAGTGAGGGGTGTGACGTCCTGACATCACAACCCAAGAGCCGAGGGACAGCAAGGAAGGCGTGGCAGAGTCCCCAGGGGCACTGAGGACAGAGCCTGGACCCCGCCCCCAGGACAGGCTTCCCTGCCAGGGGGTTTCAGGTTCACTGGCTTGGCACAGTGACCGCCGGAGTCCCTGCAGCTGTCGGGCTGGATTCTGGGCGGGATTTACACGGGAAAGATAAAACCAAAATCAGCTTTCCCTCTAGGTTTTTTAAACCTACAAATTAAAATTAAAACTGAAATAGAAAATATAGGAGCAACAGTTCTCAGCTGTCCCACCACAAATTTTAGCATAATCAGGTCTTATAAGGAAGAAATGCCTGGCGTGATTTTTCCTAATATTTAAAAGCAGTTATCACGATACAATAGGCATTGATAAACTCTTGGTAATATTCTAGCTTCCTACACATTATCTACCTTAAATTTTAAGGGACTTGTAAACACTTAAGAGTTGGTAAGCTTACATGCTTACAGACTGATTACCTGATTACAAGTATAGGGAATCAAACCTCTCACTAAAAGAAACTGTACTTCTTAGTGACTATTACATTTCTTTTAAAGTGGCAATTTTAGATGGACTTACCAGCATTTTCTCTACAGTGAAAAGTACTTTCATGGCCGGGGATTTAGCTTATGGTGCGTGCCACCGCCTGCCTCGAAAGTTACAAGGTCCCGAGTTTTACCCCCCAGTACCCCCGAAAAAAGTGCTTTTAAAGTAGGAACAGTTAAAAAACTTCAGCGCTGTGTGTGCAAACATGAAGCCTGCCTCTTGGAGTGCGGACAGTGAGGAAGAGATTTCTCATCCCCTCTGGGAGGGAGGCAGGAAGGAGGGTCCAGAGGGAATGCCCAGGGGAGCTTTCTCCTGAGCTGTGCAGACAGCAGCCCAACCCATCCTTGCCCGCCCCCCCACCCCACCTCTGCTCCTTCTGCAGTGCCTCCGCGTGCTGCCTGTTCTCGCCGTGCCACAGCTGCAGCTCGTGCTGCATGGCGTCCACGTCCTCCTGCAGGTAATCCATCATCTTCCCCAGGGGCAGCGCACTCTTACACAGGGTCTGGATGGACCCGCGAAGCTTCTCAATCTCCTTGCAAACGATGTCTTTCTCCTTCTTCCACGCTGACTCAAAGAGCAACTTCTCCTGCAGCCAGGGCGCCAGAAAGAAAAAGAAGCATCCTCAGACCTGCGGCAGGGCAGGACGGCTCCAAGCAGGGAAACCGGTGCTCCTAGGATATGGAGCCGCTGGGCCAAGCCGCCCATCAGGAGACAAGGTCTGCCTGGCAATCCCAGTAAGCGGACTTGCTGCTGCCATGGTCACAAGAGCTCCCAGCATGGACATTTTCCCAGGACTGGCCGAGGGGGCCTGACCCTGCCATTATCTCACTAAAAAAGAGGTAATGGCTACAGAAGTGCTCTTAGCTTTTTTTTGGAGGTGCTGCAGATCGAACCCAGGGACTCTACCACTGAGCTACATTCCCCAGACACCCCCAACACACACAACTATTTCTCTGGAGTTTGAGACAAGGTCTCACTGAGCTCGCTACCCTGACCTCAAACTTGGGATTCTCCTGCCTCAGCCTCTGCAGCACTCCTGGCTATATAAATCCCTTTAAATTGAAATGCTAAATGACTAAAACAGATTCAATGCATGATAAACTACTCTGACAAAACCACAGTGCTGACACCCACCCACGAGGAAGGCTAAGTGCACACTGCCCTTGCCCTGGTACGATGGACAACACAAGGCTGTTCCGGGTGGGCTTTGTGGGAAAGGAACCCATGCAAGTGTCCGCAGCTGGGGGCCGAAGTGCAGAAAGATGCAGAGTGGCTGACCAGGGCCCCAGTGCTCTGGTGACCTTGTGAAACCCTCAAATCTCTGCCGTGGAACCAAGAGGGACCTGGACTACTAACATTAAAGTCTAAAGTTTTAATTTAAGATGTTAAGAATTTAAAACAAGGCAGCCTTGGACTGGGGTGCGAATCGCTGGAGAGACCCTCACTGTCGTCCTAAAGGCACAGGAACACACTGCTGGAAACATCAGAGTTCCTCGCTTTCCAAAGCTCTCGTACACTAAGGTGGTAGGGTGGAGGTGGCTGGAGGGTGGGGACAAGCACAGCCCAGACCCTCTGGCATCCATTGAGTCACAGGCCCAGTGCTGCCCACCGGCAGCTGCCCAGCCACATGCCTAGTCTGCACAAACGTTAACAAGGAAATGAAATCTGAGGCTTCCACACCACACAGGGTATCAGCCTTATGAAATATTAATTTCTGGAAACAAAGAACAAAAATGCTGAAAATCTGTCCTCACACAAAACAGAACCACGAGCATCTAGAATTCAGATCTGGGGGCTCAGCCAAGCCCCCCACCTCTGACAGCCTGGGAGCCAGGCCCAGCGCCCTGTGCCTCAGCGTCCCCGCAGCAAAGTGGAAATGACAGTGCTCACCCCAAGGTAGGACTCCGCCATCACGTCAGAAGCGTGGGCTCGCCCTCCTGGCTGGCCAGCGTGGCTGGGGCTCTGCACACCAGGGACCATGCTGTGAGACAAGCCAGTGGGCGCGTTCCTTCCCTTTAGGGGACCCTCCCCGCCCATCTTAAAAATATGGTGACCCTGGCTATGACATGAATCCCCAGCTTCCTTTCCTTCCCGAGAGACCCGCGATGCCGAGCATGGGCCCTGCTGGCCTGGCTGCACACCTTGGCAAAAGTGGGCAGCACAAAGCCATCCACTTAGCGCAGGCTACTGATGCCAAACAGCTATCCTGGCATGGCCCAGCATGTGGACGCCACCTGATGGCTTCACACACCATTGTGTACCTGATGCTGTGCATGCATCCACACATTCAGGAAATGCTTCCAAGACTTCCATGAACCATTACTTCTGCGACGTAACACTACTCGCCTTTTGCTACATACACATTTGGTCCCAGAAATCTGAGCCTCTGTGTTTACAGTGATTTTAAAATTTACAATTATTTATTGTAAGTCAGACAAACATGGACGGTAGAGATTTGCTTCTGCAAATCGTAACTGCAGCGCTTCAGAGAAGGGCAAAACATACCTCCTCTCTCCAAGCAGGAGCCGCCACAGGACAGGGCCGTCCACCCTGCAGCCTGGGGCTCTGCCACTGTCCCACCCTCAGGAGCACAACCAGCTCTGCCCTGCATTTGGCAAACCCACACAAAAACCTGAAAACTGCAGGGCAGATAGTTGGTAATAAATCAAAGAATATCACTCTCCAAGGATCTCAGGAACTGATTTATATGCAAGCTATGAAAAAATTTGCTTTGTAAACAGAGGATACTTGCTTTCAAGTTATTAAAAACAGTGCAGGGCAGATAGTTGGTAATAAATCAAAGAATATCACTCTCCAAGGATCTCAGGAACTGATTTTATATGCAAGCTATGAAAAAGTTTATTTGCTTTGTAAACAGAGGATACTTGCTTTCAAGTTATTAAAAACAGCACAGGCCCACAATATTTATTCTGAAGGTCCTCTCTATCCAGAATTCTCCATTTCCACACAGGTCAAGTTGGAGCCCTCCCACACACACAATAGTCCCCAATCAAACACTTCAACCTTTAAGGGTACCACCGAGCAGGCTGTGAAACAAACACACCGTGTAACACACACACACACACATAGGTCGACACCTGCTCCCATCACCAGAGCAGGAAGCCCCCCCTGTGGTCACCCCTGCCTGACTCCCAACGGCCCGCTGAGTTCCAATCCAGAGCAGTGGTGCCACTGCCCTGCTCGCAAGCTTGTTCTGAGTCCAGTGAAGACGCCTAGCACAGATTCCCCTCGTGTGTGTGCCTTTTTCAGCCAACACTTTGCTCATGAGGCACCTGTTACATGGTTTTGTCTCTGTGTTGATATGTCATAAACGAATGAAATACAGCCGCTTACTATTCATCCAGTCTCATGCTTGCGGGTGTCTGGATTATTTTTTACCTGGGGCTACTACAAAAATACAACTGTTGGATAATTACCCGATTATGTAGACTGCAACCACCAGTTTTTGCTGAGTAAATATGCATGTTTCCAACTTTGTGACATAATGCCAAACCATTTTCTAAAATAGTTTTAGAAATTTACATTTTTTTTTCTTTTTACAATATTGAAGGTTGACTGAACACAAGGCTTTTTGAAGGCTAGGCAAGCACTCTACACTGAGCCACATCCCCAGCCCTTTATAAATTTCCATTTTGAGATAGATTAGGGATGCAATGTAAGTTGCCTAGGCCAGCCTTGAACTTGTTATCCTCCTGCCTCAGCCTCCTGAGTATCTGGGATACAAGGGTGTGCCCCTGCATACAGCTGTATGAAATATTTTTCATGAGCCTATATTTCACTTCTACGCATATAAAGGAACTGTCACATCTACACCTACATCATTTCTGCAATCTGACAACGACAGGTAGTAACTACCAAACTACTTCACAGGCAGTGGGAACAAAACCACCAGCCCAAGTCAGAAACATGCCAGTAAAGGGGCTCATTACAGCAGCTACATGGTGACAACCTTGTAATGTAGACATCTGAGCAGCGAGACAGAACTCCAAGGGGCCAAAGCCATCAGTGGCATCCCAGCTCGGTGACTTACTGTCCACACGTCCTCAACAAGGTAAGGCTGTGCCTCAGTTTCCCAACCAAGGAACACCCATCTCACAAGTTACTATAAGGAATAAGGGGATGTATGCAACCCCAAGACACTAAATACTCTAGAAATGTCAGCTATTTTTATAATCTTCATGTCTACAGGTACAGAAGAACCAATGGTGAACTGTAGGAGAAATGCACACGCAGCAAAGCACCATGCACATGTGCTGCTTGCACCAACAGCACAGTGCCTGGGAGGTGGTGCCGCAGGCCTGAGGCATCAGGGCTTTTACAAGGCAGTGCACCTGCAAGACTGGGGCACCAGCCAACCCTGCTGGCTCCAAGCAGGGTCTCGGGAACCAAGGGGAATGCATAGCTCTTCCTAAAACTAAAGGTGTTCATCGGAAATGAAACTGAATCCCACTGGGGCAAGAGATGTGCTTAAGTGTGCAAGGCAAAAACAACCCCACCATGCCATGCAAACTGAACAAAACCAAGCGATGTGGGGCACGGAACTTGGGCCATGGAAACAGTGGGGTGTTCGTGCTGAAGTCCAAAGCAGCCTTCCTGTCCACCCTCAGATGCAGGATCTGTGAGAAGCTGAGCTCCCCAAGAGGCTGAACTAATGAAAGTAAATAAATGAAAGCAGGAAGAAGAGAACTCCATGGGTGTGGGCTGGAGCAAGTTCAGTACGCTGCCAGGTGGGTCAGAAAAAATGGGACAATCAGAATCCAGGAATTATCTAGCAAATTCAATTCAGAGCATACTGAAGGCACATGGAGTAACAGTTGAGAGGGCAAGATTAGAGGCCTTTGTTAAGATTCTGGACACAGTTTGTCCATGGCTATGTAATAAGGCAGAAATAAATACTGAAGTATGGGAGACAGTCGGAAACCAGTTGGATGAAGCCCTTCTGGCCGAGCCTAATCGTTTCCCAGAAGGTGCTCCTTTTTATTGGGCTTTGTTAAACGCAGCTCTCACGACCCCAACCAAAAAGGAAATCTTGGAAGCCTTAGAGAAGGTGCATGTAGGGTTAGAACAAGTTAGAGAGGAGCGCTCTCAGACTTCAGAGTCCCCTGAATCCGGAAAATGTCCCCTTTCACTTGAGCCCCCTGAGCCTCCGGATTCCGGAGGACCTCCTGTAGCACTATATCCCAGTTTTGAGGCTTTTCAACAAAAACTTGAGCGTCCACCTCCTTCTGCGCCCCCTCCCACTCAGAGGGAGGCAAACCTGGCTCAACTGCGCACTATTAATCAGGAGCTCAGTGAGGAACTTCAGCTGAGGCAGCAGATCTCATGCCTCTCGAGCAGACTTGCATCTCTTCATGCCTCACAGGCCAGGCCTACCAATGAGACCAATGGTAAAGACCCCATAACATCTGAAGGGTCTCAAGGCA